TCTAAAACGCAGTAAACAAAAGTATTAAAAAACGTATTAAATATATTATACAAAAATATATTAACCTTATTAACTAAATCTGAAGCACAATAGTTTTCCCATTTCTTCGATAGATGGTGGTGTTGTGAAAATGTAATGCAATTGCAATGTTTTTTTTTTCCTGTAGATGAGTTTTCATATTTACTGCTAATCTTTATTATATTACTCGCTGCCCTACTGCGTGTTGATAAACTCAATTTATTCTTTACCGCCGAGTACTCTATGTGGTAAATCAAATTTTAAAAGAGCTATTAACAAATCGTTGATTTTGGCGAGAGTCAAACTTTATTTTTTGCTTACTGTGCAGGCACTGATTTATAAGTATTCTTGCGTTTTATATAATGTATCAATCGCGTCAATTAATCTCTTTTATATTTAGAATTGATGTTAGCAGCGCCATCTCTCTTTAAGTATATACATATAATAAAAATGATGATAACACATTGTGTCTTTTTCTGTACATTGTATAGGTATATATTTTGGTGGCTAAAATCATTATGGGGAACTGAAAATAATTAAATAAGAACATTTTATAATTTTTAGAATTGTCTGTATGTCTATTTGTCTGTTATTATATGAACGCATCACGTCTAAAGTAAACATCTTTTATTTTCAAAGAAATCGTTAAGAAAATCATAAAGCGTATCTTCGAGTTACATTTAATCTTTGTTTTATTAAAATTGGTTAATTCTATCGAAAGTAATGATTATTATTTTGAAATGTAGGTTCGAATTTGTTCAATGGCGCCATAAAATCTCAGAAATAGTAATAAAAAGATTTGTGTGTAAAAAAAACGTTCCATAATAATTAATATATTTATACTTAAAACACAAAAAGAGATTTAAAAAGGATGTTTTCTCACACAAAGGACGTAATAGATGGAGTTGTAGAAATTACAAACTTTTCTGAATTGCTGTGTTGAGATTTTTCGCCGATGAATCGTATTGAGACTTACTGAAGAAATTTGTATCCATCGAAGCCATACAACGGAATCCGACCAAAAATAAAAATTTTGCAACGAAATGTCGTGATATTGTATTTATAATATACGCAAAATCAGTACTGCCACTTTAGCGCTTTGGGAACTAGATTTAGCGCTTTTTTGGAATGTATAGCGCGCATTTCGAAATTTTAGCCCTAGCTTAATCCAGCGCTTTTTGGTGTATTTAGCACACATTTCAATATTTTAGCGACTAGCGGGTTATTAACTCTTTTATAGCAGCACTGTTAGTCCACATTACCGATAATAATAATAATGACCTTTATTATTTTTTCCCACAAATAGTACATTGCAGTTTATCTTTTTCAAACATATTTTTTCCACAAAACAAAGAGCATGGGAGACGAGTCCAAACTAGGATACCCTGTGCTATGGATCTCCTGGCTTCCCCTTTAGGATGATCAACTTGATTTTTTTACCGACGACTATAAGCGGGGAAACCCCTTTATTAAAGTTTTTGTTCATGGTTTTGGCAACGCATTTATTTTGCTTTATTCAGTTTCAGTCAGTTGCTTAGAGCACAGCTAAGTTAAAAGTTACTTAGAAGTTATAACACAAAGAAACTGTGTAGCAACCGCAATCAGATGCTGACACCTGAAACTAAGTTGCGAAATACATTGCACTTTAAAACAATTAATGACATTTTTATTGTTCGTACAGTACTAACTACTGTTGACAGCAATTGCCATAATTATAAGTCGATGTCCTGCGAAGTATTGATACATCAAAAAAATATTGCCAGAAAAAAACTAAATGTTGTTTTCTTTATTATGATTATATAAAAAAACACAAACTTTGTTTGTAGTTAATTTAGCGCGAAATCTAGGGCTTTTTTAAAGCGCTGTTTTCATGAAATCCAGCGCTTTTTGTGTTGTCCTAGAGCTGAATTAGTTTTTTTTATCTGGCAGCACTGCCCAAAAACCCTCTATTAAGAAGTAACTTTCCTTTCAGTTTGAAGCGCGTTCAGTTCCCAGTTACAGTGACCGTGTGTTATGCGATGACCGTAAATAAAGCGCAAGGTCAAACTTTACGCGTTGTAGGAGTGTACCTCAGTACTGACTGTTTTGCACATGGCCAACTCTATGCTGCTTTTTCCCGCGTTAGTAGCCCCCGTAACCTTTTAGTGTACACCCCGGCTAAGCCTACTTCTCACGTCGTTTACACAGAAGCTCTATCATAAACGACTTAGAACTTTGATGATAATGATTTATTTAGTTACCACTTATTGATACAGTAATGAAATAAATCGTTTAATATTCTCTTACCTAAACGACAAATTGTTTATGTAAAACCTGTATACGCGAGCTACGCCGCGGGCACAGCTAGTACTTATAATAAACCCAACGACTATATAATAATTTTGAACTAATAATTTATGAATGATCTAATCTAATCCAAGGTAATCAATACTATTTATGATGAATAATTTAATCTAATAATCTAATCTATTATTATGAATAATGTAATCAATGAACTATTAATAATATTTGACATTTGTACGCCCATGAGGATTCAACTCGGCTGGGCAGCGTTCGGGAAACTACGACACATCGTCTCGTTAGACATACCTCAAAACCTGAAAACGAAATTGTACAACCAGTGCGTGTTGCCAGTGATGACTTACGGATCTGAGACGTGGTCCTTCGCTGCTGGCCGTATAAGGAAGCTCAAGGTCGCTCAGCGAGCTATGGAGAGGGCTATGCTCGGAGTATCTCTGCGTAATAAACTCAGCAATGAGGATATCCGCAGTAGAACCAGAGTAACCGACACAGCCCAACGGATTAGTAAGCTGAAGTGGCAGTGGGTCGGCCATATAGCTCGAAGAACCGACAACTGATGGGGAAGGAAGGTTCTCGAGTGGCAGCCCCGTACCGGTAGGCGAAGTGTAGGGCGACCCCCCACTAGATGGAGTGACGACCTGGTAAGACATGCAGGAAGTCGATGGATGCAGGTGGCTCAGGACCGTACTTTGTGGCATTCCTTGGGGGAGGCCTATGTTCAGCAGTGCACTTATGAAGGGCTGTAATGATGATGATGATGATGATGATGATGTCCATGAGGCTGATCATAGACTGAACTTTATTTGTGTTTAAATAAGACCTTTGTGTAAACTATGAAGCACAAATAAACTATTTGATTTGATGTCTAAACGAAAGTATTGAACATTTAGCTTTTATATGATTTTTTTCCAGTAAAATTTAATTTATTTTTATTTTATTTTATTTATTTACGTATTTTCACCAACAATATAAATTCAGAAAACAAAAAATATGTGTTTACATCTGATACAATACTATTGTTAGGTGAAAAACTGGTGCCTAAACTAGGTAAAACAAGTATCTTATGTCACCATTTTATTCACAAGGAGCATAACAGAAATTTAAAAAAAGAAAAAGAAAATAAAGGTTACTAATAAATAAATAACATGACAAGAAAAATATGGAGTAGTAAATATGGAGAGAATAAGAAAAATATAACAATAAAGACTATTGGTGGCATCGACGTGTCGTTTTGTGGCGTCACATCGCGATGCGTAGTAAAGTGGTCACCCTTACCGTAAAACGCCATTTTACTCATCAATATTTCTGTCATTTTTAAAGGTAGAAAAAAATAAGAATACCGTTGAATTCGTAATTTTTTTTACAATTTTTTTATACTCTTAACAAAATTGGGTGGCCAGACCCATTATATTAGTAAGTTGTACCATACACAATTTTCAGTCCTCGTATGCTACAAGGGATCGTTCTATTATAGCGACTAAAACAAAACTTACAATGTTACAAGAAAGTTTCTATTACAAGAACAACTGATTTTAGATGAACAACACGGATTTGTACCAAGGCGATCAATCATTACTAATATGGTACAATGTGGTAATGATTGGGTCACAATGCATGACAATGGATTTCCTACAGATGTGATATATCTTGCCTATGAAAAAGCGTTTGAACATAAACCATTGCGGCGAATAATATACAAGTTAGAGTTTCGGTATACGCGGGATTGTTAGCCTGGATCAGTGATTTTCTGTCAGGCAGAACATTTTGCGTACGAGTTGGTAATATCATGGCTAAACCCAGAGAAGTACTCAGCGGTGTTCCGCAGAGATCTGTTCTTGGACCATTGATATTTATCATATATTTATCAGATTTGAAAGGCACGTTACAACTACCATTCTCATTATTTGCCGACGACACAAATTTTTTCCTGGCTCACGAGGTGACCGACATGTGGGGTGGACTGCTGACCGAAATTATACCTGTAGTGTTTCTGCGAACGGGTTAATTCCAGTCAGCCTCTCGGGTCATCTGAGGCGACTGGGACTCCGTGACGGACCGCTCCAAGCTCAAATGCAGAAGGCGGTGCTCCTCGATTCCGCCCACATCATCCGCCGGTTTCTCTCCCTTTCCGCCTAACCCTCGGCCGTTTGGTCTCCCCTGAGGATGGTTTCCATTTGGGTTGGGTTTTGGAACGAAGTTCCTTATCGGACGGTACGGATTTGATGGATGGGGGCTAGGCGACAAAAAGTGTAAGATTTTTCCGTCACGACCCCTTCTGACGTAGGATAGGCGGCCTTGGCGGCTATAAGGAAGCGAATTTATTAAGTGACGCCTCATGTTAATAGACGCTAGCAATTCATTTATTTGTATTTGTTAATCAATAATGTAATACGTTTATCAATAATAATATTACGAAAGAAACTTCGTTCCAACCGATTTTTCCACGACACTCACGCATGTTTTTTTTTATTTATTTATGTATTATTTATTTATTTATGTATTATTTATTTATTTATGTATTATTTATTTATTTATGTATTATTTATTTGTTTATGTTAGTATATTAAATATATATAGGTATTTATGTTTATTTATTATTTCCTTTAATATATTTACTCAGCCCAACCAAATGAGAATACTATATAAATACCCCAAATAACAATCAGTTTCCTTATTGGCAGGAATAGCATAGACGCAGCACTACCAGTAACCACCCTGCTAGAGGCAAGAGCTGCAGGTTGGATATGTCCAGTATTGGCTGGTATCACGGTATCGGGAATATGTCTCGCCCTTACCGAGCTCTGCCCCCTATTGTTTACCGTGTTGGTATTGTTGGCTTCTCCTGAATGGAAAGTATTAACAAGATCGATGACCTATGAAAGTTCTACGACTGGAAGCCCTGTGTTAGCTGTTTTTACAGCAGGTTAGTTATCCCATTAGAGAATTATCATTAAAATTGACGAAAAATATTATGAAATAATTTCCTTGTAATAATATTTATTACTCTTGAATTCACATATCTACTATTATAGATACAATAAATCTGTAGAAAAATTGTGTGTTCACGATTCATCTAACAACAATAAAAAAAAATTGTTCGAATTTTCTGAAGAAAAGTTATTTCCATACGTTTGAATATTAGTTCTGATAACGCACTTAACGGGAACCACAGGGTCTTTGTTACATGTTGTACAAACCAAAAAGACAAATTAACTTTCTATCTTCAATAACTGCTACAGTACACTATTTAAAATTAATGGATATCTATGTTTCAGGTAGTTTGGCGGCAATACTGGCTTTCGCGTGTCCATTATCACATATGATCACCTTGATAAACGCAAGTCACTTATTTGGAATAACAATTCAAGCATTTCATTTTATCGTCATGAGATGCGTTCCAACAGCTGAACAAATGGAGGCAGGAAGTAAGATTTCAATCAAACCTGAATCTCGTATATTATTTTAAACTTGAGAAATTTATTCTTTATTCATTTACAGACATTGAATATAAGCGTCTTGGATCTGAAGGCAATTCACGAGTTATCAAATCCACTTCAATGAAGTCCAAACGTGGGTTGTGGTTTATCCCGTCAGCAATACGCCATACTAAAACCTTAGAAAGTATCAAGTCAAAAGTGACAAAAGGTATGGTAAACAAAAAGTGAAAGAGATGAAATCTTTCTAAGTTAGGAACTATTTAAATACGTACACAAGAATATTTTTTTTTTAATAAGAAATAGTATATGAATTCCAAAATTCGCTCTACTAATAAGAAGAAATTGAATGAGCTTCAGTATTTGATGCAGACAATCATTTTGTTCAAATATGTACCAAATAAAATATTGTAAGCAATTATTCCACTTCTGATGTTAGAAATTATTCCCAAAACTATTTAAATAAAAAAACACTATTCGGTAACCATCAGAAACCATTGTGACGGCCAAATGTTAAAGATAGTAAAGGTGTGAGAGCGTAAGCTCGACTTGCTCTCCTGCTTACATAAGCAACAAAACAGCGCACAGCACCATACATTTAGTATAGAATAACATGATATATATGATACACATATACATGATATCACCAAAGTATGCAAACCAACTGCAACCCCCCCCCCCCCCCCATCTCAATGTAACACAGGGCATATCAACGGGAATAGTAACGACAGTGAGAGTGAGACTCGTAACATTACCGACCGATCTCTCTTAGTCGAATGTAATTTCATAACAATACATTTATTTCTAGAGACTGAAGAGCGGGAGTGTCTTCTTCTTGACGAGTACGCAGGTTGCCCCACTGAGGATATAGAGCAAACATCCAGTGGTCATAGTGGCGTAAGAGAAATGGCAACAGTAGAAGTGGATGTCCAGTCTGATGTAGACGCTAGTGAACCTGATATATCTTCAGGTGATGACTCCACGGACATAGATGCCGTGGTAAAGGAATACAAAGATACAATACAGGTAAGAGATTTAATATGTCATCAATAAAACTAATTAATTTAATTACCTTATAAATAGTGGCCAATGGACCGCCCGAGATTTTTTTTTATAGAATAAGGGTGACAAACGAGCACGCAGTCCACCTGATAGTAAGTGGTTGCTGTGGCCCATAGACACTACATCTATCTTCGTTTGCGAATCAAAATGCAGATGCGTTGTCAGCCGTGAGGACTAAGATGGAATGCCTCTTTTCCAGTAAAATGGGTCTCCGGTTCTCTACATTCACCATACGAAACAGAGCAGCATTAAGCTGCTATTTTACGCTGGTATTCTGTGAGAGCGTGGTCCTTCCCCGGTCGAGTCGACCCATTCGTGATACAACTATACTATTAATATAGCTGCAGCATGACTCTACCACGTGAAAAACATGATGTACAAATTTATCAAAAACTCTTTTTGAAATTATGGTCAATGTATTATTTATATAGAGTGGAAAAGAAAAACTTCAACATTTGGTCGTTAGTACTTTATATACTGTATAGTCGGTATACCTACTTAATTGTGCATCAGAGGAATAGTACACACGATTGGTGTTGCTAATGTTTATAAAAGTATAGGTGGTCACCAAGCTTTAGGTGAGCCGCATGCCCCTTACCCCCTGTTGAAAAAAAATAAGAACCAATCTTAACCCTTAATAAGTTTCATCCTAATTATATTAATCCTATATCGCATCTAACTGTTATATTTATAACGGTTAACTATGAAAATGATGCTGTTTATGGAAAAGTTCAAAACACTTGTTTTAAATTATACATATATTTAAAGTATTCACCTTCATTTTGTATATATTTCTGCCATCTCGTTGGGTAATGATTTATGCCTCTACAAAGTCTATGAAGGCATTTTTATCACTTCCTTAGGACAAAATTTTTTCCCTGGAGGAAATTGTCCAAATTGAGAAAAAAATGATAATCAGTTGCGTCTAGGTCATGCGAATACGGAGAATATAGTTTCATAACTTTAGGTCTTATAATGTTAAAACTGTTTGCAGAGCAGTGTAAGGTCTTGCATTATTATGGAGCAATAATGGCGAAGATCGAATGACGAGTCGTTGTTTCTCTGACAGTTTTGCCATCTTTGTTTGAAGTTCTTCTTAATAGCCCTCTGTTATTGACGCACCAGATCTCAAGAAGCTATAGTAAATTACACCATGAAGTGACCACCAAACAGATACCATTACTTTTCTATTGGTGAGCTTCGCTTTAGGGCATTGTTCCGGTTGTGGTATCTGGGTTCGACCATTCCGTTTTTCGCTTGGGATTATCATAGAGATCACACGTCACAATTCTGCTCAAAATCCCACTCATCAAAATGAGGCACCATTTGGCGAGTTTTTTTAGTTTTATTTTATTTATCAATTTGTTGTAAATAAATCAACATTGATAGAGCCGCGGTAGCTCAGATAGTTAGCGCTCGTTGCAAATTTCAGAGTATGCGAGCAAGCCGGATTCGATCCCCGCTGGCACCAATGAAATTGTTAATTGTAATTTTAAGTGCTGATTTACCACGTGCTCGGCGGTGAAGGAAAATATTGTGAGGAAACTTGCATGTCACATGTGAAGTTCGCTAACACGCATTGGCGTTGACAGTGAATATTTCTTTGCCCAAAGCCCTCTCAGAAATGAGATGAGGCCTGTGTCCCGCAGAATATTGTGGATAAACCTTGTTTGGTTCCTTGGTTGGAATCAAAATCCTTGGTTTTTTTTATAAGGATCAGCTTCTTTTAGCAGCAGCATTACTTTTAATTTATCATTCATTGTTTACTTTACTATCGTGGTTCATTCTTCAAGCCGAAATGTCCACTACGAAAGTGAATAAACCAAAAACGTATAGTGCGTTCGTTAGTCTTATCCTCTCCAAACACAGTATTGATATTGCAAACATTCTCTGATGAGTTAGAATCACGTCGGAACTCGTATTCGGAAGTTATTCTAATCTTTGAGGTCTTCATGTTTTACTCAAATACTGAATATAAAAACAATTGAAAGTCAAACAATCGAATGTCATAATTTTTTTTGTGTAAAAAGTTATAATCACGAATCTTGTACAATGCAGTTTTAATTTTAATTCAAAATGACCAACTTGATTAAAACAGCAAATTCATACTTGAACCCATATTATTTATACAATGACCCAAACATTAACGGTTGAAAATGAAATTGTAAATAATTATACACATATTAATAATCTTTATATAAAAATTCGAGTGGCAGCCTCGTACCGGTAGGCGAAGTGTAGGGCGTCCCCCCACGAGATGGAGTGACGACCTGGTAAGACATGCAGGAAGTCGATGGATGCAGGTGGCTCAGGACCGTGCTTTGTGGCATTCTTTGGGGGAGGCCTATGTTCAGCAGTGGACTTGTGAAGGGCTGTAATGATGATATAAAAATTACGTGTCACGTTGTTTGTTCGCGATGAACTCCTAAACTAATGAACTGATTTCAATGAAATTTTCCACACTCTGTGCAGTTCAGACTAACTTGAAAGATATAGTTTTTATCCTTGTAAGTGACACTCAATATTTTTTTTATTACGCATTTAAGGATTTTTTTATATGAATGGTCGTCGAAAAGGGCAGAACAACGTCTGCCTGGTTAGCTAATATACATAATTATATGTTTAGATATTACATATTATTTTGGGTTTTGGTGTATATATATATATATATATAAATACCATATGGCGATGTCGCTAAAGATTTTTCTGTGGAATTACTCTGGTATACTGGACACTTTTGCATAGACGCATTGCAATTTTTGTTTGACAAATATTGAGAACTATGTATTCAATATGGCTCTAATCGGCCTGTTAATTATCTAAATACATGAAAATTGATATACGAGCCTGATAAAGTTAAAATTATATAAAATTCAGGTAGTTACGGCAATACCCGAAGCGAGCACTCCCGCTCCCCCGAGCATCCGCGGTGCTCGCTGGTCGGCGGCCGGTGCCATAGTACAAGTGGTGGCCACCGGTTTTATAGCAGTCGCCTTCTGCAACGACGCTTTGAGACTACCCATGTTCCTCACAGGAATACCGTGTAAGATTATTAAACTATGTATGTTAGATTTACACATTACTCTGTACCGTGGTATCTCGTAGGTTGCTTTGTAATGAAGAAGAAAATCCATCACCCCATCTGATGTCATAAATGTAAGTATCGACATCATAATATATACGAAAGAGACTATTTATCTATATATATTATTAGACAGTTATTCAGCAGTCATTAGATACATCACATAGCTTTAAGGTTTATAGAGAAAGTCTATGCTAAGAGGTAAACCCTACTCCAAAGCAACTTATCACCATTACCTCCAGCAAAGCACCTTCATATACCGGTGAATCACTTTTAAAAATTAAATCAAGGCATGGGAACTCAGTGTAGGGTGGACTGCAGTGCGATTGTAAAACTCTGGTGGAAATCTTGGTTGTCTTCATTTAGTTTCGTTGTATTATATAAATGTTAATACATGTACATAATACCATATTAAACATATGATTACACATCATATACATATGATTAGTATCAATTATAATCCGGAGTATGTTTATATTAATATCTTATTTTAGGTTACATAATTAATTGAAACGCAGTTATGTAGTCATTCCCCAACGATTCCCACCAGAGTTACACAAGCCACGATCAGATTAGATCTCTTATTGTCAGTCTACCAGTATAGCGTCAAAAATTTTATGTATGTTATGGAGTTGGTCAAGAAAAAAAAAAAACCTACCGCATTTTTATTTTTTACCTAATATTTTAAAAAAAAATTATTACTTTTCAGTGTGGCTATGCGGTACATTTATTTGTATATGGCAACCTGCTCATAAAATAAGTATGAGGAGAACTCAAGGTGTGGAAGGACCAATAACGATGATAATGGCATTGTTATTCTTGACACCATTGCTTATTGACTCCTGGCCAGCTATCATTCTTTTTGCTGGAGCAGGTACCGTACCATACATATTTTTTTTTAATTTTAAAAAATTACATACAAATACATATATTTAAAAATAAAATACTCCATTCATGAACATTAGCCTGCTAGTGGTATAGAGACTACCCACAACACATTCCTAAGCTATCTGCCTTAAGAGAAGTCTGCACTCAGAATTAAGTTTTTATTGACTGATTTTTGACAAATAATGGATTATTAATGGGTTACATTTTTAAATTCGGCGTGTCATAACCAAAGTGATATTACAAAATTCAAACTTATATAAATCATCGTCATTTCTCAAGTGGACATTAACCTGTCCTAAAGTGTGCCGATTAGCCTCATTTTCGGCCTCACGCATCTATCTGCTTGCAACCGGTTGCTAGACGCCTTGTGCAAGACAACACTCCATTTGGCTGGGGGCAGCAAACACTTCACTTGCATAAGCGCAGTATTTATTATAGGACACGATTAGTCCAACGTATGTCACTTCCGCGTCAGGTTGGTTTTTTTATGTTTTTTTTTAAATTGGAATAGATATAGGCCAAACTCATTAAAATGCGGCACCACGGGGCTTATTTCATATATATTGAAGTATTTCCGAAACTTCGTCCCCATTATTGAGGCTCCCAAGGCTTCCGTTATTGTTTGGTCAGTTTATGCTATTGTGGGGGAAAAGCAGCGCCACCACATCACTCCTCCTGCTCAGACTGGTAGTTAATAGTATAGTCCAGTTGTGGACAAAGGTGCAAGTGCTAGGAATTGCTATGATAGCACTAACCTTACCTAAATGCCGACCTCAGTTGAGGATTAATCTCATGAAGTTTGTCAACTAAGTCCCCAAAAGATCTTCCAGTGAGGCTTGCTTTTTAGCTAAAATCCCTTATACTTGATGAGAAAACCTCCTAACTTATATAGATACTAGTTGGCCAGGCAGACGTTGTTCTGCCCATACCGACGACCCTTTGTCCTATTAAAAAATCCTTAAATTCGTAATAAAAGAAATTGAGGTCACTTATCGGGATAAAAACTATCTTCTATCTCTCAATCATCAAATTAGTGCGTTTTTAATTACTATAAATTATGATTTTGCATAAAAGTTATATGTATAACACCATTTATATGAAATTGGGCCTGAAAGTAAAAAAAAAATACTGAGCATAATATGAAAATTAAGATAAATTTTTTGTACAAACTTTGTACAAACAAATTGTACATATAGTGTGAATCAAAGTTATTAAGAAAAAAATTGTAGTTTCCTTGTAATATTCAATTTTTATAATTATGCATATACCTTGCATTATATTAGGGCTCCATTTACTATAATGCCAAAAAACATACAACTCTTTCACTAGCAGCACATATTATTTATATATATATATATATATATATATATATATATATATATATATATATATCTTCATTCCTATCAACTGAAACAACAGATTTCATGCACGATGTAGGAACTCATTGAAATTGTGAATAGCCTCTTGTATCGAGAGGCAGGTTCTCTTATGCTAACCGTGGAAAAATAGAGACGATAATTTTGGGCAAGTTATGGCAAGCCAAGAGAGAAGCTAACGCTTCGTGAGCGTGAGCTTTCGGAGCATGTTCTACATAATATACCTATCGGAGTGATTCGGAAACTTCAATGTCGTGATTTACGTTTTCGCTGTTTTAGGCCTATTTAACGCCACTATCGTAAATCCTCCTATCAACTAAATGGTCCATGTACAGCAATGGAATGCATTCGGGCTAGTGACAAGATGATTAATAAATAATGATGAGTAGCCATTCCGTGCTATAATACAGACGACAACGTGCATTCTCATGCACGGCGAACGATCCACCCTGCTGGGAACCACGAACGAACCAACCCAGATTTTTTTTAATAGAATAGTGTGACAATCGAACACACAGTTCATCTGATGGTAAGTGGATGCTATGGCCCATAGACATCCACATTTATTCTCAATTAAGTATCAAAATGTAGATGCGTGGTCAACCCTGAGGGCTAAGATGGAATGCCTCGTTTTCAGTAAATAAAGTCTCAAAGGAATAATCACGCAGTTAATCAACTAAGAGATAAATACCGATTGTGATGGTATGAAAGATATCTTGTTATTGAAACTTTTTGCTATCCCACAGGCGTAGTGATATACGCTCGCTGCGAGCGGTGGTGCGGCGACTTGGCCGTGCAGCAAGCGCGCAGCACGCTCGAGCGACGCAAGCGCGCGGCCCGACCGCTCACCGGTACACTCGCACATATCGACACTGTGTACATCGCCAGGTATTCACTAGTTTTGCACCAAAATACCATTTCTAGTGTTACTTTTCTTAGAATTTTTATATGGTATTAAATTCAATTAGTTAATGTGATTTAATTGAAATATTCTATAAAAAAATATATTGTTGTGTCCTATATTTCCTTACTGTATTTTTACTGTTTTTATTTTACACTCGCGGTTGTTGTTTTTTTTTTGTGAGACTCCGTTGCTTATTTAGAACTTAGATGGTCAATGGGAAATGCAAAATAGATTTACCTCAACTATTTCCACACTTTTTAAATATTAATTTATTATAGTGTGTAACCTGTTTTCTTTTGTTCTGTTCCATTTTTGTTTAATCTTTATTAACTAAGTACACTATCACAGATGAATTTAAGTTTTTCAAGTAACGGAGAAGTTACTTAAATATCGAATCTCAAATATAGATAAACCACAGAACAAAACTTAAAGTTATCAAGGTTATGGTTTTAGTAGCCAATTTGTATTTATTGGAGTTTTTATATATTGATGGAGTCCGGTAGGTAATGTCGCACGCCAGTGATCGAGGTAAATGTCAAAAAAATATGTTATATTTAAGTCATAAAACTTATTGTAACATCAGCCTCTAGCCAATGTACAGCTGCATTTCAGAAATATTTAGGTTTGCTTAAAAACTCGAGAACGTATTAGTGGCGCTATAGTAGTGTAGTTGTACCACTTCTAGACCACCTGAGTCAGACGTGGTTCAACGACGTTCGTCGACGCCCGATCCTAAAAAAAAAAAAAAAAAAAAGGTTTTGGCATGCTCTGATCACGAATCCGCGGTCCATTTTTGTGTAGAATGCACGGTTCCAGAGATGTGTAGATCAATTAGCTAATATCTAATTGATATCCGGTAAGGGCCTCCACCGTCATTAGCGTCCCATTGTTCCTATTTCTATTGTTCTATTGTTCCTTAATCACCTTCATTGCAGCGTGTGCGTCGACTATATCAGTGCTATTGTTTATTATAATTCTTTGTTTATACAACGCTAATCTGAATCATCAATAAAACACATTACATAATTTTGTTACAATTTTTATTTATAAAATACAAAATCTTACTAATTATTATCTATAAAATAGGAGCGAAACATCTCATCCACTAAAATATCGTTGTACAATGTGTTCCTTGTAAATATACTCGTAAAACTATGTATTGAACATCCTTGAAACTTATATAGTAAATACATTAAGCAATATTCGCCACAAACTGAAGTCCACTCATTCTGAATCCTATCAACATTCCAGTTCCATCTTTTACAATTCCTTTTTAAAAACTCTAGATGATATCGTACAGGTGATCGTCCATATGAATCAAAATATTGACCGACGTCATTCGTATCGATATATAAAGCTACCCAATGTGACCCTGGTTTATCATCTGTATCCAAATTACATATTATATACGTTGGTACGTGGGTATACATAGGCAGTCTATTAGCTGCATAAACATTATTTTCTAGACTGGGGTGAATCTTTTTCAGATGTTGTTGTACATCTAGTGTATCCATGATATTACTGCTATTAGTAGATTATTACAGTACCTAGCTACTCAATGAATAACATAGGAATGGTCAATTATAGTGATTTCTACATATTAAATTGCATTTTTGTGATATACAAATCGTACTTGAGTCATTGATCACCAAACAAAACACAATACGAAGAAATGTTGAGATAGGCAACGGAAATGTGAGATAAACTGATATGTTTCTAAATATTAAATTCCATTTTTGTGTTATACAAATCGTACTTGAGTCATTGATCACCAAACAAAACACAATACGAAGAAATGTTGAGATAGGCAACGGAAATGTGAGATAAACTGGTTGACGCATAAAGTAATTATCAACTCATTACGGAAATACTTTAGATTAGAATTTTTACGTACTGGTGGTATATAAGACCAACAAACGCAGTCATCGAGTTAGTGTACGGTCGTTTGGCTACAGTGGATCTATCAATAGTACATTTGTGTTACTTCAATACACCAAAGGCTATGGATGTAAGTGTTTATTCTATTGACTAAATTACTTTTTTTCTGTTATTTTCATGTGTGTGTATTATTTTATTTAAATATTGTGTATGTATATGATTAAGCCGTGGTAACTCAGATGGTTAGCGCTAGCTGTAAATTTCACAGTACGCGACCCGGGTTCGATCCCGGCCAGCACCAATTAAATTGTTAATAGCAATTTTAAGTGCTTATTACCACGTGCTTGGTGGTGAAGGAAAACATCGTGAGGAAACCTGCATGTCTGAGAAAATTTCGAAGGCATGTGAAGTTCGCCAACACACATTGAGGGAGCGCGGCGGACATTTCCTTGCTCTAAAACCCTCTCAGAAATGAGAGGAGGCCTATGTTCAGCAGTGGACTTTAATAGGCTGTAACTTTAACTTTTTTAACTTTTATGATTAAGTGTTAACAAATTGATATTAACATGATAACTGTGTTGTTGCAGAAATCATTGAGCTTCGATGAAGATACCTATAAACAGTATTACTACTCGCCACTCTCCCCTCAAGAAGAGAGTGATAACCTCGTCATTAATAATAACACATGCGATGGTGGAAAAAGAAAATCGCAATCGATTGATCATTTTTTTGAAGCTGAATCAAAAATAAAAAAGAGGAAGCTGTTATCATCAACCGTAGCACGAGCCGCTAGAGATGGTGTATCATACATTTCTACTAATTCTGACGACGGAGACCAAGCGACGCATCTCATCAAAATTGAAATGTACGATATGAAGAAGCTATCCAAGATTCCAACTACTGATCATTGGAAACATGCTTCCACTAGAATTAAATATTACGTAAAGACTAATAAGGATAGCATCTACGACAACACAAACGCCCTCGTATACAATATAACAAAGACAATAGCAGAAAGTGAAAAAGTTAAAAAATACTTTTTTAACAATGACAGTCATTAGCTGATCATTAGTGAATGTGATTCTGTTTACTTCAATTACAGGAAGACAAGAGCGGAAGGAAGAGATGAGTGTGGCATACGTGTACAAAACACATCATTGAATAACAAAACTACAACACTGAGTGGAGAAGAAAACGAGAAGAGTATGCAGTACTCAAGAGCTGAATATCCATTCTTCAGTTCAAAATCTAGCCGTTTGCTTAGTTTCGAAAACTGGCCTCTAGTTATGCGACAGAAACCTGAAGATCTTGCAGAAGCTGGTTTCTTTTATACTGGCCATGCAGACGGGACCAAGTGTTTCCATTGTGGTGGTGGTTTAAAAGATTGGGAAGATGATGATGATCCTTGGCAGCAGCATGTTCAGTGGTTTAGTCAGTGTGCTTATGTAAAATTTCAACTCGAACAGTGTTTTGTATTAGATTAAATAGAAGATTTATAAAGAAATAAAAAAAAATATATTGCATACAATTTGTTTTATTTAATTTTATAACGTTTCACATAGTTACATACACACAAAATGCATTACACATAACACATAAAATCTAACACACAACACATATTATAACCTTAACTACTATAGTCTACAGTAACATTTCTGTTTTTATCTATCTCAATAATATTATCAAACTCAGCATAAACTATACAGTTAATTGTTTGTATTAATGAGGATTCAAATCGTACTTCTATTCTTACACTACCATGCTTTATGAGATTCCAATGAGTTGATGAGTTAGCTGATAAATCAGGAGTTAAGTCAAATGCTAATAGACAGTAACCTTTGCCATACTGTTCACAAGAGATTCCATTTCCTTCATTAAGAAAGTGAATACCAGTTCCCGAGAATAGAGTATGATATGCTGATGTAAATATGCTATTATTAAAAGATGGTTGCAAAGCTTTTGAAGGTATTTGTTGACCATCAATATATAAGCTGAAAGAATTAATACCATCGTTTTCAAAGTTAAATGGATTTTTAGTAAGGGAACCATTAAATGCAGAATTGTTCACAAATCCAATTATACATCTTTTCGGTACCTGTCCTAAAAATATATTATCAAGAGTTTTTCCTTGAACACCCGAAGGAATTGTTAAAACTTTTACTTCAGCTCGAGTAATAGGATATTTAGCAGTGGTAGAAGCTAAAACTTTTTGATGTGCGAGTAATACACTTGGATTAATTCGTGCTCGTCGAACAATAAGAGTTGCGTCCGTAATACAAACTTTAAACTTTACATCGTTTGATCCAACAATTAAATTAAAACTCTCTCTTGATCGAACCAATTTAACACTCATTTCAACACCATTAATTAAAAATTTATCTTGGTTAAAAATGTCACCGTGAAGATGACCAATCATTTCTATTTCCTTACTTTCACTAATCAATTCCTGTCTTTTAACAAATCCTATGTTTTTACCATCTGTAGAATCCATTTTTCCTGCTGTATCCTCATACCAAAGACTACAAGTAAGATGAGATTGTTTAGCAGCAGGGGCATAGTTTAAAAGGGTTTCCATGTATGCTCGATATGCATAGGTATTATTAGGTGGTGATACAAGTTTTTGGTTTAAATAAACATCAAGTTGACTAAAAAGTGAATGCAGCCAATTATTTACAGGTGCTACTATTGTAGTAGATACCAAGTTAGTTGAATCTTGATTTAATACTTTTGCCTTTATGTGGAGTAATGTATGAGACAAATCTATGTAGTCATCGCCGGTCCCAGGAACTTGAAACTCGATAGGTCCATCATCACCAAGAGATGAAATTGGTTTATAATGAATCCACAATCCATTTTCAATGCTAGTTTGTGTAGACGGTAGTGCAAACAAATCCAATTCTGACTTAACGCACTCGCAAGAATGATTATGAAGGAAAGACATATTTAGTTTGAAAATATATCTTTGATATTTTTTGGTTTTAGACTAAGTTTTTTCGCAGCTTTCACTTTAGCAGTTAATGGTGGAATGAACGATGTCAATCGTTTTCTTTTAGTTTTATACCCAGATCCAGTCATGTTAAATTGATCAATTTTCTCATCAGCCTTTCGTTTTAAATTCGTACTAACTTGCTTTAGACGATCTTTTATTGAGGCTTCCATAGGACGGGCTTGAACCA